TGCACTTTTCTGGGCTTGCCCCTTGCGAAGAGGCTCTGCCGGCAGGACGTGGTAGGCTCACTTCCTGCCTGAACCCTCTTCTGCTGCTTTCTGCACTGCGGGTCTGGGCGTTGGCCATTACGTACCTCGTCACTGGGGCCTGCTTTTCACAGGCCTGTGCGTGGCTGGGCATCTGTCAGACCGCGTTCCATGGCCCATCGCTGATCGTTCCCCCGGGCCAGCAGAGGGCGTAGCACGTGGAAGCAGGGCCGAGGATCAGGCGTCCTGCCTGAACCCTCTTCTGCTGCTTTCTGCACTGCGGGTCTGGGCGTTGGCCATTACGTACCTCGTCACTGGGGCCTGCTTTTCACAGGCCTGTGCGTGGCTGGGCATCTGTCAGACCGCGTTCCATGGCCCATCGCTGATCGTTCCCCCGGGCCAGCAGAGGGCGTAGCACGTGGAAGCAGGGCCGAGGATCAGGCGCCTGTACGCCAGTCCCGAGTCCCTAGTGCTGTCACTGGCCCTCCCTCCGCACGGGAAGACGTAGGGGACAAGGGAGGAGGACTTGCAGAAAACCCTGTTCTTGGAGTGGCTGTAGACATGTATTCTGCCCAGGGAGGGCATGTCCAGTGCACTGCATAGCATCCTTGGGCCGCACAGAGCCCTCCCGTGGTTACCACCAGGCAGCTGCACTGCACTCTGACTGCCCATGGCTTGAGCTGACGTTCTGGGGAGATTTGCCGCTCTCTCTACTGGCACCGCAGCGTTCCGTTGGTTTCTCGGTAGCAGCACTGCCTAGCTATGCGCCGAAAGCCAGGAGAACCTCTGCGGAGAGGCGTGCCAGAGCGTTAGTTCAGTTAGCTGTGTGTTCAATGGTGCCTGCTGCAGGGCCTTGCCCAGGTCCCTGGGGTGGTGTGGTAGTGATCCCAGAACTCGCTGCTGCTTGTGCCTCTCCGAGGCCCTCAATGCTGTCATGAGACTCTTGTTCTTCCTCTCCTCCACTGGGAGAGAAGTGTCAGCAATAGCTGTAGTCATGCCAACAGCCTCCTGTGGAAGGATGAGGAAGGAAGCAAGGGTTCCTTGAGATCCCCGGGAAGAGCAGGCTGCCTGTTCGCTCTCGGGAGCCGTGTCGGTGACTGCAGCATCAGTCTTGCCAGCACCGAGTGTGTCGGCACCAAGGCTCTTCAAGCAGCTGCAGGTTTACTCTGCCTTCAGGCGGGACTTGCCTGTTGCACGGCTGTCCTCAGTAGGTTGGAGTCTCCTGCAATCCTGGGGCCATCTGGCTGGCTTGCCTCAAATACAGGCTGTTGCTGGTGTCCTCTTCGCACCACTTTAAAGCCAGGCTGTGGAAACAAGCTCCCTCTGCAGTATCTGTCTTTGGAGCTAATTCACCATTGTCAGCCTTGGAGATCAGATCTGCATTAACAGGCTGGAGCGATGGGTTTGGTACCAGTGTTCCCTGTAAGCTGAGCCCTAGGGCGGCCACCAGGAGAGATTCAGGTGCTGCTCGGCTGATTAACAGAGCACCCACAGCGGATAGCATGTTTCTATTGGTGATGCACATCTGCACTTGCCTTGGTGCATGTAACATTTATTCCACACACAGATGGAAAAAATTAGAGGGCACGTTGTTTGGTACCAAGTGTCAGTGCTGCCTCAGACACTGCCAGGACTCAGGGCCTTGCCTTCTCCACCTCCGTCGGTATTAATGTGACCCACACACGGGCTTCCAGAGAGTCATGGCGCGTGTGGCACCCTAGATCTGCCTCTGCTGCTCTGTGAACTGCTTGGAGGCTCCTGATGTGAAGTTCACGGTCTAGATGGTGCTTGGTCCTGCTGTGGGGTAGGGAGCTCGAGGGCCCTTCCAGTTCGTGTTCTGTGATTCGCAGTTCAGTGTCGTCTTCCATTTCTTCATCCAGGCATCCGCTTTGAAAATCGTCACCGTTTCCATGGGCTCACCCTAGGTACTGGGCTCGGTACTGTTCTCTTAGCAAAGACGAGAAGAGTTACCCGGCGTTTCCGGGTCCAGTCAAGCTTCTTCCCAGGGCGGCCGGGATGTCGGGATGTTAGCTAGTGGCTGGGGCACTTGCTGCCCTGCGGTCGGTCGGTCCGCCCGCAGTATGTGTTCCTCCCAGACCCTCCCTTTCCATTGGGTAAGAGACAGTCGGATTCTAGGCCCATCCCATTGCCCTGGTCCAGCCAGACCCTGGTAGGAGAAGAGGAAGCTCACATCCAGTGTAGCGGCCCTGCCCCTCCTGTTCAGGAGGAGTTCTTGAACAACCGGACTCTGACGCCCCTTTCTAAAATGGGTAGATAAGGGTCTTGGCCCAGTTCCTGCTGGCCCCGGATGCCATATCTCCTTCCTCAGCGGCATTCAGGGAGCCCTTCAGGCTTTCCGTCTTCAGTTCGTTCCAGGGCACAGTTGCCAACCCCTCCTGACCCAGACAGCTGGAGACACATGCTGGGGTTGCTCCCCATGAGCCGATTGTCGGCACCTTCGTTGCAGGAGCAAGCAAGGCCACTTGCCAGTAAAATGGCTCTATCGCCCCACAGCCACCAGAGTGCTAGAATAAAGAGGTCAGGCGTTTCCCAAGGAGCATTTGTGTGTCTGAGAACTCCCCAAAATCTTCCAGAATCAGTCGTAGGGCTGGAGGGCTCGCTAGAGCTCATCTCATTCAGTCCCCTGCACTCAGAGATGGAAGCGACTAGCCC